GCTCAGGCTGAGGCAGGCTGAGGCTGAGGCCGAGGCTGAAGGCAGACTGAGGCTGAGGCTGAGGCAGGCTGAGGCTGAGGCTGAGGCTGAGGCAGGCTGAGGCTGAGGCTGAGGCAGGCTGATGCTGATTCAGGCTGAGGCTGAGGCAGGCTGAGGCTGAGGCTGAGGCCGACGACGGACTGAGGCTGAGGCTGAAGCAGGCTGAGGCTGAGGCTGAGGCAGGCTGAGGCTGAGGCAGGCTGAGGCTGAGGCCGACATCAGGCTGAGGCTAAGGCAGAGGCTGATGCAGGCTCAGGCTGAGGCAGGCTGAGGCTGAGGCCGAGGCTGAAGGCAGACTGAGGCTGAGGCTGAGGCAGGCTGAGGCTGAGGCTGAGGCTGAGGCAGGCTGAGGCTGAGGCTGAGGCAGGCTGATGCCTGAGGCTGGCTGAGGCTGAGGCTGAGGCTGAGCAAAAGGGCTGAGCTGAGGCAGGCTGAGCTGAGGCCGAGGCGTGAAGCAACTGAGCTGAGCTGAAATCAGGCTGGGCTGAGCTGAGGCAGGCAGAGCTTAGCGGCAGGCTGATGCTGAGGCAGGCTGAGGCTGAGGCTGAGGCGAGGCAGGCTGAGGCTGAGGCAGGCTGAGGCTGAGGCCGAGGCTGAAGGCCGATTTGATGCTGAGGCTGAGGCAGGCAGAGGCTGAGGCTGAGGCAGGCTGAGGCTGAGGCAGGCTGAGGCTGAGGCAGGCTGAGGCTGAGGCTGAGGCAGGCTGAGGCTGAGGCTGTGACTGCGACTGTCGTTGCCACTGCGACTGTCATCGCGAATGCGACTACGACTTCGAGAACACCATAATTCTACAACTGGATTCTCATCTGAATCTTAAGGGGAATGCTTCCAGACATGCTCCTACACATCGCTGTTAGGTTGCTTTGCCGGGATAATTTTGATTAGTTGGGTGTATTTTTTGGTATTTGTTATTTTTCGTCGAAGCTCCCCCTGTAGGGGGACACGCCCGACTTAAGTCTAAATCTGGGTTGCGCCGTTCACGCGCAGGCATTGCACGTGCAATGTACTTTTGGCTCCGATGCGATGCCCTCGTCACGCATGAGCAGCGCCGATGCGACGTCTGCGGGCGCCCTCTGCAACGCTTGGGCGCTGCCTGATGGGCGGGCGCGTCGCGAGTAGGTCATGCCCAGGTGTTGAACAAGTTGCGCCTGTAAAAGGTATGGGGGCTGCCCAGATGCCGCGCGGGCGCTGTCTCGGCGTCGCATCAGCGCGACGCGCGCAAAGCTTTGAGGGCGCCCGCGCGACGCACGGGCAATGCGGAGAGATGCGCTGCGGAAGGGGCGGGGCGGGGCGGGCTGGGAGGGCGCCGATGGCTTCGAGATGGCGCCGAGGCCGCGCGGGCAGCTGCGCGGGGTCATGAGCAGCGGGCATCTGGTTGGGCACCCAGGGCGTTCGCTACCCCCTGGGCGCCCCCGTCGCCGCCGCGGGAGGGCGTCGCTGCCGGCCGCCGTGTTCCCGCCGACCGATCGCGGGGCGCCGGCCGAGCCGAATGCCTGTTGCTGGGGTTGCCGGCGGCCGCCGCCCCGCGGTCGCCCTGCGGCCATCCCGCGCCCGCGGCCCCTGGCCCTCGCTCGGCGCGCGCGCGCGCGCCGCCTCGCGCGGGCGCGGGGCCGCGCCCCCGCGTCGCGGAGAACTCGGCGGAGGGCGCTCGCCGCGGGCGCGAGTGCGGTTCGGTGTTGTGTCTTGGCACTGGCGACGGATCTGGGCGCTCGCCTCTGGCCGCGGCCCCGCCGGAGGACGCGGCCCCCGCGCGCTCGGGCCCGCAGGGTGGCGCCCGCGCCCCCCCCGCTCGAGTGGAGGCGCTGGCGTTGCGCGGGTGGGCTTCGTGAGTTGGCGGCGGGGGGCAGCGTTGAGTCGGCATTCTGACTGGCCGTTGAATTCGCGGGCGGGGATCGTCGGTTGATCTCAACCTCGCGTCTGGAGTTATCATGGTGGTTTCGCGTCTTGACGTGCCAAGTTGATTTCCAGCGTTGGGTCCGCGTCTTTAGCTCGCAGATTGATCTTGGGTTTCTGAATTGAGCGCGCCTCTCGGCTTTGGGTCTATGTGTTCTCTTCGCCAAGCGACGTGGGTATTTTCTGCATAGCGCTGCCGTCTTGATATTGGCTCATTGATCTTGACTTTGCCGACTGTCGTTGCGTGCGCGCGTTGATTTGCCAGGTGGGATGTGTTTCGTTGGTTGGTCTTGTCTCGCAGTGTTCGCCTTGTGTCTTGTTGTCGCCGACTGTTCTTCGCTCTGAATGTTGATGTTGTGCGTGGGAATCGCTCCGCCTGGCGCAACTCTCGCGCGTCGCGTTGCGCCTCGACGTCGGCGCGCGGGTTGGAGCTTTGGCCTCGCAGAAACGAATGCTTCTCGATCCGCGCCGCACCTGGCCGTTGCCGCCGCCCGTCTGGCGCGAACGCGCGGCACGATCGGCGGCCCGCTCCCCCGCCCTGGGCCGCGGCCACGGGCGCCCGCCCTTTGACGATCGAGCAACACACACCCATACCCATAGGAGGGTCGGAAGGAGGAGGACTGGCTATGGGCATGGGTGCGAGTTGTCGGACCCTGGAGGAAGCTCCCGTTCGTGCGGGGACCCCCATTCGACAACGCGCACCCATAGCCCCCTCCGTGCCCCCTATGGGTATGGGTGCGTGTTGTTCGTTCGTCACCCTTGGCTCTGGGCCCTGGCCGCGCCGTGGCTCTGAGCGCTCGCCTCTGCCCATGGCGGGCCCGCGGCCTGCCCGCGGCCCGCCCGAGGCCCTGCCCGCGGCCGGCCCGCGGCCAACCCGCGGCCTGCGCGCGGCCCGCCCGGGGGGCTGCCCGGTCGCCGCCCGTGGACTCGTCCCGGCGCCCCGCCCGCGCCCCGCCAGCTGTCTGCCCCGGCTGCGCGCCCGCGGCGCGCCCGACGCGCGCACCGCGAACCCCCGCGCGGCCCACCCGCGGCCTGCGCGCGGCCCCCGCGGGCCCGCCCGCAGCCTGCCAGTTCCCCGCGCAGGGCCGCGGGGTGCCCGCGGCCTGCCCCCGGCCCGTCCACGGCCTGCCCGCGGCCCGCGACCCGTCGGCCGCGCACGGCCCGCCCTCGGCCTGCCCGAGGCGCGCCCGCCCGCGACCCGCGCGAGGCCTCGGCGGGCCGTGCCGCGCAGGATTCTGGCGGACAGCCTCTTGGTTCGCGAGATTGTCTGCGCGCGGGGGCGGGGGCGGCGCGCGCCGCCCCTGCCTGCGCTGACCGCGCGCCAACGACGGGGCGCGCAAAAGGGCGCGCGCGCGGGCGCTGGCGGGCGGGCGCGCCCGTGCGCTCGCATTGGCAATGGACGCGGGCGCACGCGCGCATTCACAGCCCATCTCCGGGAGTGCGCGTTCGCCTGGATGCCGGAAGGGCCGCGCCAGACACCGCCCAGGGTTCTGAATTGCGCAGAGAATAACATTCCAGGTGCTTGCAGGCCTTGCGCGCACTCGCGCGCCACGGAGGAAATGGGGCCAGGGCCCCGCGGGGTCTTGGGAACATCATGGGATATTGGGCACCACCGACGGTCCTTGGGGACCGTCTGAAACCAATGTTATCAGTAGCAAAGGCTTTGGGAGCAAATGGGTGCCAGCGTGGGTGGATTCGGGCATGCGCCACACGCGATATGCATGGCACGAGCGAGCATGGATGCGAGCGCGTCTGGATATCATTGCGCGCGAGCGCGAGTGGGATTGCGCATAGGCGAGCACGCGCGCGGGCGGCTTCGCGGGAGCAGTGAGAGCGAGTGCGAGCCGACCAGCAAGGTGCAGGGAACGCGCGTTGAATGTCAGCTATGTTGACGCGCGTGCGTCTGCGCCTGTGTCAGCGCCGACCAGTGAGGCGCGCGGAACGCGCGCCTGATGCATGAGTTCCCTGGCGCGCGCGCGGCTGCGCCTGCGCCAGCGCCAGTCAGCGATATGCAGGGAAGACGCGTGTGATGCCTGAGGTTCGGCGCGCGCGCGCGCGCGTGTGCGCATGTGCCGAACCTAGCGCGTCTCTTGCGCTCTCCTCCGTCTGCGTCTGAGTCCCCGCGGATCTGGGTGTGGGCGCCCGGGCGACGGCGCTGTTTGCATGTTGCGCGACGCGCGACAAACAGCCCCGCAAAGCTGCGGAAGCAGTAGCTCGGGCGCGATGGTGCAGTCGCGCAAGGCGAGTGCCGTGGCGGGTCTGCGCGCAGGGTCCGCGCCTGTCTTTGCGCCGAACGCGGCAACGAATTGCGCGGCGCAGGCAAGCGAACGAAGGTTCCTGCTGCGTTGCAGGATGAAGCGACGGCCGCCCCCCAGGACGCGAATCCTTGTGACGGTCCGCACCCATCTGCGTGGCACGCCGAGCTCTGTCTGCGCCGCCTCGACTCGCCAGAGGGCGGTGCGATGCCGAGCAGTGGCGTGGAGCGGGGGGCGATGGCCCTGGCGAGCGCAACGGCGCTTCTCAAATTCGCTGTGGGGCGTGCCCACGCACGCGGCATTCGCCGCGGCCGCGCGATTTGGCCCCCTTCTGGGAATGGCGTTAGTAGTTCGTCCGCGCGCTGCGACTTTTGCCCGTTCTTTGCGCAGCATGGTGGGGAATGTCGCCCACGCCCACCCCCCTGCGCACTTCGACGGAGGGTTCTTTCCCGCTGTGCCCGCAAGCTGCTTCGCGCGGCAGTCTGTTCGCGAGACAACCAGCGGTTGCGGTGCACCCGTGAATAGAGCACGGCTGCGGCCGTGCCCACGACGCCCGCGCAATGGAATCCCAGGCACCGTCGTCGCATTTCCACGTGCGATAGTAATCATACTGCGCATGCCTAGCCGTCGACGATCACGGCCCGGCCGTGATCGTCGCTGGTTGGTCATGCGGACCGCTCCCATTCGGTGTTTCGCGTGCACCCTCTTCGGCGCGCACGGCCGGTAACAAAACCCACGTCTCCGAGTACTCGGAAGGATGCCTTGGCCCCGTTAGTTAGGCAGACCTGATCACCCGCCCACCCACCCGCGCAGGATGCCAAGTCAGTCAAGATCAAGAAGAACGGCACGGAGACCAAGTTCAAGATCAGGCGCGCTCCTTCTTGGCAGCCCTGTCGCCCTGCCGTTTGCGCTAGAGGCCGACGCGGAGGATCGCCGCCCGTGTCTGCACAGAGGAATGTTTCCATACTCGGCAGTGCGTGCATATACGTATAGAGAGGGGGCAACGCAGGAGGGGCCAAAGCCCGCCCATGGTGGACCAGCGCATGAGAAGTCACACCCCCAGCAGAAGGGACCAGCGCGTGAGGTGCCGAAGCCACAGAGGAAGAGGAGATGGAGTAGGAAGAAGAAGAATAATAAGAAACATAATAATACGAAGAAGAAGAAGGACGTAGAGGGATAGGAAGAGGAGGAAGAGGAGGAAGAGGAGGAAGAGGAGGAAGAGGAGGAAGAAGAGGACGGATGACGGTTACGACGAGAAGAACCACGAAGTGTAGGAGGAGGAAAGAGGAGGATGACAAGCAAGACGAATAAGTAACGAGGAGGGGAAGGAATATGATGAGGAGGGGGCACAGGAGCTGCAGCGGCGGGAGGGGGAGGGAGAAGGAGAAGGGCGGAGGGGTAAAGCGGGGGGGGGGGGGGAGCAAGCAAAGGAGGAGGAGGAGGAGGAGGAGGAGGAGGAGGAGGAGGAGGAGGAGGAGGAGGAGCCCATGCCCAGGTGCGCCAGCTACCTTTACACGCTGATCATGGCCGACAAGAGCAAGGCAAGTGTGCTCCCAGAAGCCCGAGTGGCGTATAAGCAAATACGGCGGGCGTGCTCGCCCTGCTTCGGTCCCCGAGGCCTCCACGGATCGATCGGGACGGAGAGATCCCTCACCAAAGACGGGGAGGAGGTGGAGGAGGATTTCCAGGATTTCCGCCTTCACGTAGTGAAAACTAGGCTTGATGCTCAGCTCTTGCACTTGGGAGGCAGGCCGCGCTCGATCCTGTCGAGATATTCGCGCCTGGCCTTCGAGATGGGTAATTTGCACGGTTCCGCTAGCCCCCTGAGCTGGGCTTGACCGTAGAAACCGCATGTGCCGCAATACCACAACTGAAGGTCTGTATGATAAATCAAAGCATGAGTGGGATGGGTCCAACCCCCAGCCAAGTGTAAACGCCGTCCTCTCGGAACACGTGCGATCTGACTATTCACATGCTGGAGTTGGAAGCATTCACTTTTTAACCATTCCGCTAGCACCGCTTTGGTCGAGGAGCCCCTACACACACTACACGCCCTACCACTTTCGGTCAGGGAGTGGGCAGACGCGAAGCGTGCAATGGCGATAGGCGGAGGAGGAGGAGGGGGAGGTGGGCCAGCCCGAGCTGAGGCCCCAGCTTCCCCCGACACCTGGGCGGCCTTGATATAATCCAACCCTACACGCAAAAGCCTCCTTCGCACTAACAGGGCTTTGTGTTCGATGGACATGACACGGTGACGACTGGCCTGGGAAACCCGCGCGTGCGCGGCCGATTCTCCAGCAAGGACGTCGACGCAAGCATTGCCAATCACAAGCCAACTCGGTATCCCACGAGCGAGGTACTCCCGTGGGCTGAGGTGCGAGGGCACCTGCATGATGATTATACTGGCAGGGTGCCGAGCCTGTCGCAAAAGGAGCTTGCCGATCTCTCTCCAAAGGTCGGCTTGCGGCCCCTCGGGACGACGAAAACGTTCAGAATACCACCCCCTAGCCACTTCAGCACAGTCAGTAACGTAAACGATAACACCTACAGAGAACCTAAGAGCCCAAAGAAACGCCAGAAGCTCGCCTCTAGGAACACTCTGAGAGGGCCCAGGGAGCGGCCCCATCAAGAAAGGCCCTAGGGTTGGTGTGTCGTAACTCCTAACATTCGCAACGGCCAGGCCTACCCTACGGAGCCTAGAGTCGTGGGTGTCTGTCCCCCCCCGACGCGTCCCCAAACAGGACCAGGGGCTCCCTCGTGGTGCCTGTCCCCAGGCACCCCTCCTCCAAAGAGCCCCCGAACCAGTTGCCTCCGACGATGGCCTCTTCGGGGGCGGGAGGAGGGACTGAGGTCCAGGAGGAAGGGATGAGGCCCCGCATCCAAAAACACGGAAACGCCTCGGACTCCGACACAGCCTGAGTGATGAGATCATTCGAATCATCGTAGGCCTTGGACGCAGAGCTGGCGTTCGCCTCGCATGTCCAGCACCTGTGCAAGGCTGTCTCTGGACCTTGCCCGCACCGAAGGCAAACTGAAGAACTGCATAGGTTGGCCTGGAAGCTCCTCTCACGCGTCCAGAAACCTCCTGTGGCAATAGAAACTAGCAGCTCCGATAACTGCCTACCTTTTTTACATCCTGCAACTCGGAAATCATGGCCTGCAGTGAAACCATGTCCACTCCCTCAGCGACTCCGTCGCCGCAGAAGTGTGTGGCTGCTGTCCGCCACTGCTGAAGCTCTCTTGTCCGCTGAAACTCGTCCAGAAGGGGCTCTGCCTGATCCAGAGCCTCGAAATCGCCCCCGTGAAACATCCACGAGTGCGTCAGCGAAGATCCATCATGTGGCACTTCCCATTCCGTCGGAGAAATCGGCTTCCAACCCGCTTCAAGCAGGTACATGATGACAGTCGTCATGGGGCCGCGCACGTGACGTGCGCGCTGCCCCACAGGTAAACTGGAAAGGTGATCGACTGCCCGCGGCCAAGCCCGCATGATGGCTGGCCTGATCTGGGAGTCGGTCAGCCACACACTCAGCCATTGCGACAAACATTGCCGCGGCAGCCGCACTCCAGGATCATGACCTGGGAGTCTGAGCGCCAGCGGCGTCGTGAGACACCTGCCACGCTTGGCTGACCCCGCGGCAGCGCCAAGACGACGGCGCTGTGAGTGCAGCGCCGAGCCGAACTGCCCGTACACGTGGTGCCCGTAGACGGCGGCAGCCTGCGGCCCCGCACGCTGCAGCTTGGCGGACACCGCCCAGCGTCGAGCAGCCTGTGCGTACTTCCGCAGCCGCCCGTGCGTCTTGCTGGACTTGAGCGCCCGCTGCCTGACGGTCGCTCGGCCGTGCCGCCTGCCGCAAGATAAATCCACCCCGGGGTAGGCTGTCTGCAGCACGGCTCGCAGAGTGACGCCCTTCCTCTTGAGAGCGCGCTCGACCACCTGCGCATCACTGTGGTGCGAGCACAAAACAACACTCTTGTCGGCGATAGCCAACTGCAACTTGGAGAACAGCCTGATGGTAGATAGCACTCCCTTGATGAGCGTGGATCTAACGTGCTGTCTCGAGCCCATGACCCTCTGAGATAAACCATCAATCCAGATTCGCTCAGATAGTGAAACATGCGCCTGACAGAGACGCTGGCACACGTATGCTGTGAGGCACTTGGCAAACCTTGTGCCGTCCCGCAGCCCTTGTACCACTGATCGAGTCACCTGGAACGGTTCGTTGAAAGAATCGATTTGCTCCAGCATGCGTGAAGCCAGGCAGATCTGAAGTTCCAGATGCAAAATGACTGCGGGAAAAACCTTTGCGCATGGCACACAAGGTCAACGGTTCCCACTCGATGGAATCGTAGAAAGACGCAATGTCGACCACCGTCTGACCGTGCGGCATGTCCAGGCGTGGGTGAACCTCGTCCTGCAACGCCCGAACGAAAGCTTCCCGCAGGGCGCTGTTCCCCGCGATGGCTGCGTCCCAGTGGTCCGTCCCCGCCTGCAGGGCGGACCACTCCTTCATCTGCGCCTCCCTGGCCATGGACCAGACACGGCACAGCATCGCGATCAAACCGATCACTCTGTCCCCGCCCGACTTCTTGCCCAACAGCTTCCCCATCACACACATGGCCTGCCATGGCCAAGAGAGGCCTTCCTCGATCATGTGGAAGAGGTCGCAGAGGCACTGGATGCCCTCGCCGGGCAGCCTCTCAATGTCGGTCGGAGATAGCCTGTCGATCCCGAGGCCTGCCCGAGCCTTCATGCGAGCTAGAGCCGCACGAATGTCCGCCACGTCCAGCGGGACGAGCTGCACCACCTCAGCTCTGCTCCTGACCGTACTCATGGTAGCCAGGCTCTCATCCCAAGAGGCCACCTCGGAGCGCCACAGCTTGTGATAGCGTAGCACCTTGCGGTCCACGATATCCTTGGGATGAACTCTGACCGATCCGTCGCAGTCGTGGAACTCGTCGCGCTCAGGATCTGGGTCCTTAAGCGATCTGAAAACTTGTCCCTGGGAATCAAGACTGCTGAACCACTGCTGAAAATCCTTCAATGACGAGGCTGCAGCACGATTCTGCGCCCTCTTGGACGCTCTGAAAGTCTTCTCCTCCAGCATGCTGAGCTCATCGACGCTGAGCTCGAGCAAACGCCTGAGGTCCTGCAAAAGCCCCTGCCAGGAGCCGAAGTGCGCAGGGAAAGCTGCGCCAGCTCCGTCCACTGGCTGGTCAGCCAACCTGACGGACGCCGACGCCAGGTAGCCCAGCTGCACGATGCCGTTGCTGCGCCTCCGATGTCGTAGCATTCCCTGAACATTATTGTGAATCCTTGACCACCATGTGGATATGCCGTCTCGCAACGGCTCTTGACGAATGTGCTCTGCTTGCCTCGCCGACACCACCTGCAGGTCGCAGCCGCCTGCCCTCGACCGCTCGGGAGCTCCGATCTCGTGATGAGAGGAGATGGCTAGCCCCGCGGCCTGGACCCATCGCGAGAATGCCCCACTGATGGGCAGGACATGCTGTGCACCAGCTTGGAAGGCGAGAGACTGTCGAATAGGAGACCAAACATCGTGAATAGAGTGTGCTGTCCAAGGGGCTCGAGCCAAAGCGGCTACCCACGAGGAGGGGGAAATAGAGAAAGACGGGAGAGGAGCAGGAGAGACAGCGGCACCAGCACGGGCGAGATGATCGCTGACCCCCTCCAGGGAACCGTCGTTCCGAGGACGCTCGGCTGGGGGGGACAAACCATTACCTTCACTCCGAATTGCTGCTGCATCCCCAGACGCCGCCGACGAAGCCTGCGTCGCCTCGTGCGCGCCTGGAGAGGGGCTGCTAGAAGATTCCGAGACTCTAGGTGCTGGCTGAAAGGAGGACTCATTGGCCCAGGGGTCCTCCTCATCAACCTCAAAAAGCCCCTCGAAGCCTTCGTCCCCAAGAGGATCGACCTGCGACGAAAAGCCCACGGGGCCGCCAGCCGACGGGTCGAGATCACTAGGGCCGCGAGGCTCGGGGGAAGACGCGCTGCCGAAAATGTCACCATACAGCAACTCACATTCACTAATCAGACGCTCTTTCTTTTTCTGAGCTCGCCCGGCCTGCTCGAGCTTCTTCGCGCTCGCGACTTGGACCCAGCAGTGGGTGCTGCAGACGGCCCGGGCACTTGCGGCAACCTAGGAGCGACAAGCAAAGATCTGCAAAGCAACTGTTCGCCATTGCCTCTTAGCCGTAGCTCAAGCCCAATGTGAAGGGCCCATGGCGTGTCAACTGCTGGGGTGATACTGCGAATGTATGGAAGACAGCACTCACACGCCATGACGAAATCGATGTGAGAACTACCTGCACTCCCGACGCATGTGTACTCCACACCAGCCCGACGGATCACGCCTCCGACGCGGCGGCAAAACGCTGACTTCTGAAATTTGGCAACATCGATGTTATAATCCCCTATGACGAGCCACGGAAGCTTCACATAATACAAGAATGCACCCAACTTGGCAAATCTACCTGAGTTAATACCCGTGAATTCGACTGACGGGTGTGCGTAAAACAGTACTACAAGCAGCGAGAAGCCACACATATGCACTAGCACAGGCATGAAACCATCGAGGGCGTCTGAGCCCTCGGCACAG